AGGATACATGTCCATAACGATTTATTTCGCAATTGGATCAAAGATGGTCGACTGGCAGGCATCTTGTTTTTGTTTTTTTATGCGGAATCTTGGACGTGCTCTGTTCGTTTTCATTCAAATTTGGCACATACATGTACTTTATACATGTTAGGATGCATGTCCATGACAATTTGTTTCAAAATCTGGTCAAGAATGGTAGACTGGCAGGCATCTGACTTTTTGGCCTTACTACTATATTTCCACAATTTATGTACCATTTTCATCTGTATTTGGCACATACATCATACATATCAGTGTGTTTCATAATCGGATCAAAGATGGCCGAATATTGGCTGTTTTTATTTTTGGCCATATTACTATGACACGAAACACATGTTTTGATGTAAATAAACAATCTGTTGTATGCGCCACTTGGAAGTCAAGTTTCAAGGACACGCTCGCGACAACCCCTCAGCTTTAATATGACGAGCACAAAAATTTAACAGGGACTGTCATTTTCAATGACTTGTCTTTAGTCATTCATAAAGTAGCACATTGGTATTCATAATACTCTTGCTTTAACTCCAAAATAGAAATTCATAGCTTTATAATTTATTGGCAAATTTTGTTTTTTGGCAGCCTAAATCTAGTAGTGTTACAGTCAGTAAAGATCCCAATGTTGTTTCTTCACAACAAGAAGAAGATGACATCGCTAAAGGTAAGTATCAATCTCAGATTTTTATTTTTAATAAAACTTCTCCTGTGTCATTAAAGTCAATTTGTAACAGTGATCGTCAAAATTTGGACACTGAAAGCATAGCATATATACTATATACCAACGTTTTACATTAAATCACTTGCAACAAAAATGCCTGCGGGGGTTGCGTTCACGTATCTAGAGGGTGCCATACATCACCATTTATTGAAATGCAATTTTGTCAAGTGAACTTCAGGGATTACAGTTCAAAATGACAAATTACCAGGGCCCTAGGCAAAATGTCAAATATATTGCCATCTTGAGAGGCGAAGTGTCACTGATGATGCTTACATACATGTAAACGATAGGAAAATCGTTATAAGGTGGAAGGTGACTTGTTGTATCTTGACTCTTGCCTAATACTGGTAGTATGTGATGCACCAAGGAACATTGTATGAAGCATTAATCAATTCCATCTTGTGTATTCTGTAGTGTCTTTGGTCTAACACAGTAGAAACATGTTATGCAGGTTAAATTATCGATCAACACCATGTGGGTTCAATCATCCAATCGTCACCAATTTGATCTAACGTTTTCTTCTCATTCCGGACACTGTTTTTTATAAATCCCTTCTTCATTCTTATTTCACAATCAGGATTATTAAAATGTTTCACATACATAATGCAACACCACAGTAAATTCTAATATTTATTTTTATTATTATTATTTCTAGCAATTGAGTTGTCCTTGAGTGATGGTACCCCCAAAGTGTCTAGTCTCTACCCTACCGCTATATCATCGTCATCATCCCCAAGAAAAAATGAAGCTAGAAAGGTCAAAGCACTGTATGATTTTGAAGCAGCTGAAGATAACGAACTGACATTTAAATCTGGTGAATTAATCACTGTTACAGATGATAGGTAAGAAATGTGTGACAACACATGTATGGTGTTACGACAATGGCAAATTGTATTTGTTTGGGTTGTTATTGCTGGGAAAAGATTGACCAGCTTTGTTATTAGTTCAAAAAACATGTTCAGCTTGGAATGTGTCTGAATCCCTTATTAGTATGTAGGAATGTACCAAGAAATAGAGTATAGAGAAATGGAGTAAATTGTAGTGTATTTTACTTATGAATGGTAAAAAAGTGCATAGAGATTTTCTGAAAATGTGTGGATGTTAACAGAATGATGTCGTTTGGTCACAGTTGCGCAATAAATGATGGACTATTTTGGGCGTAGCTATAAAATGCGTCACCGAAGTACTCACACGTGTGCATGATTCCAATAGTTTGTGCTGTGAAGAAACTCCACTAGAAAATAAGTATTGTGTAATTTGTAGTGAGAATGTATTCAAATAGATTTATGTTTATGAATCTTGTTTTTTTTCAAAGTGTATTTATTTATTTTTTATAAAAATGTTTTTTATACTTTTTCGATAGATTGAATTTACAAATGATGAGTAATTTTGTTATTCCATCACTCGAATTATGTGTTACGAATTTCTGATAGTTCAGGCTTTGTGTTCTTGCGAACGGGAAGACATTAAACTGTACAGTGGATGTTGATAAAAGCGAACGTATTTAGAAAGTTGTGAAATCATGGTACTGTTTTGGCATTATACGACTTGCAGTTCCCTTTTGATGGATTTTATGTGACTGGCCGTGTTATCGAACTGTATTATTATGTAAATCTGCCGGGGAAAATCTGCAAACAAAGTTTAAATTGCCATTTTCACACTGCGTATAGCATGGAGTCGTCATCTAAGTATGCACAATTGTTCGTCTCATGTTCCCCGGTGCATTTAAAAAATTCTTTTGAATTTGGTTGACTTTGTGTGACTGACCTTGGTGTTTGTAAACTTTAGTCAAACTGTAGTAGTGTGTATTAAATTACGTTTGTGTCTCAACGAGGACTGAAAAGTGATTTCCATTTACTTCGTCTGTTATAAATCAACTGTATTAGCTTCCTGCGAACTTCCTATTGTCATCGGGATTATGTCTACTACAATCAGCGGTGTAGTTCGTATCGATCTTCTTGTATGAAACGCACCCGAACCCAGAAATCGACGGCAAATCGGGACGGTCTCGTCACATAATTTCTTACCTTGTTCTTGACGGCAGTACGCTTGGCTATGAACTTCCACATACCCACGCTTATGGGAATAGTGCATCGTGGGTATTACTGCCATAATGCCAGTTGTTCAAATACATTGCTCGTGTTTCTCTTCCTGTCTTAGAGTTCTCTGTCTTCTTTGATTTTTTTTATTTCAATTAAACATCGATTTGGCTGTGACCATGCATTTAGTCATTGTCAACTGTTTTTCTCGAATTGGTTGACTGTCATAGTAACATATGCTTAGTACAATTAAACGGCCGGAGTTGAACAGTAGTCATTTCTAACATGATTATTTAATTTAGTTTAATTCCTTCAGTTAAAAATTGAGTTTCCAAAATAAATAAATAATAATATGTACCCTCATGTATACTTCAAGTTTTCATTAAAACAAAGTCAAAGTTTTTGAAATTGCTTTTCTGCCTGTTCGCCAATCCATTGCTCCAAAACACACCTTTAAATACTCTTATTTGAGTGTATTTGAACTCCTGAGTTGTCATATACATATGCAAATTTTAAGTTCTAAAGTTGGTGATCATTTCAGTTCCATAATTTATGGCACTATGTCAATAACAGCATCGGACGCTGTTACATGCATCTGTGAGTGACCTTATGGTTTATGTAAAAATGTTTTCAATGCTGATCAGTGTACTTACTATTTCTGCAGGACATTTGTCGGTGTTATCAGTCTTGTTCTGATGCTTAGACTTTACAGAGATTTGATTTTATTGAATTACTTAATCAAGGATGAATCTTTAAATATTTCCCATGTGTTTCCTGCAATTTACCGTGCATGTAACAGGCATGACTTCTAAAGTCAAACATTCAGATACTTTAGGGTTGTTAGTGTTAGCATCAATAACTTCTAACATTAGACATCTGTTTTTGCCCAGAATGTCAAATGCACTCGAAACTTGCAAATATTACATATACATGTACTGTAAAATACTTTATTTTAGCTGGAATTAATTTTTGCTGAAAAGACTTTTGGGTGTTTTGTATGGAATTTTTTTTTACTTATTTTTGACAAGTTTAACGTGAAATAAATTTCAAGCGAAAATAAAGTATTTTACAGTATGTAAGAATTCATAGTTGATATCATTAGTTTGCATCATTTTGATTCTGCAGTGATGCCAATTGGTGGAAAGGAGAGAACTTTCGTGGTAGTGGTTTATTTCCATCCAACTTTGTAACAGCTGATCTGACTGCCGAACCAGAACCAGGTAGGTGTGAAGCAAGTGTCTACTGCTTGTAAGGTTGAAATTGAGATTGTTATAGCAGCGTAACCCAATATGCATCAATACCATATAAATATAAAAAATCTGGATGCCACTTTGTTCACTACTAACAATTATTTTATACACAGAGACAACCAATTTACTTTCAAATTGCAAAGCTTTTTAAAGAATATTGTTTCTGAACCAATTTCTGGAGCTAAAAAGTGTGAAATTTGTTGACTTTCGCTTCAGCATAGTTAGATCAGTAGTTATCGTTTTCAAACTTGAATATGAGGTTATTACGAGGATACCTCAAAGTATGCACGAAGACAGTACAGCAGGAGTATCAACTGACGCGCAGCGGAGGTCGATGCGACAACGTACTGTCTGAGTAACTCATAGCGTTACAGTGACAGATGTATGATAATATATATTATTAACATTAGATCTCAGCCAAAAGATACCGGTAATGGTTAAAATGTAACTTGAAATTGTCTTCTTGTGGTTACAATAAATCAACAAAATTTTATCTGATCAACTTTAATTCTAATGCTATGTTTCATTACAGTAATCAAAGCCAAGTCAGTTCAGTTCAATGAAGAAGTTGAAGTTAGAACGTTAGATACGTCTCCACAAATAGTTGAGATAGATGAAGAAAAGATGGATAAAGCTTTGGATTTATTACAGAATGCTGATCCTACTGGTGATGAAAGACCAGATACTCAAGAGATGCTTAGTCTAGAAGGTAAAAGCACTAGTCCTTCTAAAGACCAGTCATGAATAATTAATGATTCACAATATTTTAGGAATTAGCTTGCATATTTAACGCTGCATAGATCACTCAACTTCACGTAAAATGTAATTAATTGCAGACAGTGATTGAAGAATGATTTTGATGATTGGGATTTAATGGACAGATACTCAAGGGATGCTTAGTCTAGAAATTAAAAGCACCTTCTAAAGACCAGTCACAGATATTTAAATGATTATGTTGTCATGCTACTTCACATAAAATGCAATTACCGATAACTGTTGACTGTTGTTTTGTTTATTGAGATTTAATGGGAAGAATTTCAGAATTTATCTTGAACTTGTCCATCATACATTAAACCAACTTTAAACTATCGAAACATTGATTTAAGGTATTTACTAATAATCCAAGAAAAGGAGTGACATCTGTACATGCATGTCTATGCAACATCCTTAATTCACTTTGTGGTACCCATGTAGATCATTGTATTGATATTGAGGTAATTCATACCTTATACAATGGTTTTTTTGAGGCTTTTCTATTTATGTTCTCCATATGGGATTTTATTTCTCATACTAAAGTATAGTATTATTTATTACTGTAAAAGGATTGATTATTCACTAGGTTTTAACTTTGCTTATTTCGCTGACTGGAAAATGCGCTAACTTAAAACCCAGTGAATATGTAAAATTTAATATAGAACACATTATCTAAATGATAAAACCGTGAATTTAAAACCCACTGAATATGCCTGAAATGGTAAATCAGTGAAATTTAAACCCAGTGAAAATTAGTCATTTTACAGTAACCAATATTAGGTATTCAGGCATTGGAAACTCAAAATTATACATGTTATGTTTTTACACAACTTTAAATAAATGGATAAAACTGGACTGTTGGTGTTATCGTCTTCAGGAAATAAAATGTTTCTGTTGTCATGATAAATCAATTACTTTGTAGTCACTCTTACTTTATTTGAGTAATCTAAATTGTTGTAAAATTTTATCAAATTTTATCTTACCAAGTCACATACATATAGTTTTTAAGGTATGGGTAACTTGTGTTTTATCAATACTCATCATTGTTTCCTTTTTCAACCAGTAATTGAGTATTATAGAGTATATATAATATTGAGTCACAGACACATAAATATTGTGGCATTTCATCTAAAAACTCAAAGTTGGAATCTAATACTGTAGAATACTTTATTATAGCTGGAATCAATTTTCGCTGAATAGACTTTTTGGGTGTTTTGTAAGGAAATTTCTTTTCACTGATTTTTGACAAGTTGAATGTAAAATATAGGAAAAAAGCTATATTCGCTGAATTTTATTTTCACTGAATCTTCCTTCAGTGAAAATTTCGAAAATTAATTCCAAGTATTTTACAGTAGATAGTTAGCCTTATTTTGATGCATATTATGTGTCTCATTTACATATCACTTTGCATAATTCATGACTAAGTCGATGCCTGCTTGGAGATAAAAATAGACTCACACTTTATTATAACTTACGATTTATTTGTTTCTTTTTAACAGACCAATGTAAACAAATAGGACCGTTAATAGATACAGAACTGGAGAAAATAGATCGCAAACACGCCCAGCTGACGGCTTTAACAGAGAAATTGAGAGATGCGTTTGCCCTGTATCATCAACTGATGAAGGACGCAACTTATTATGCTTACTCTTCTTATAATAAAATGAATCAACAACAATACCAACAACAAATGCCAATAAGTCAATCCATAGTGAGTTTACTTTTCAATCTAAATAATAATGTAGTTACCTAATGTGCTAATGTCTGAGATATGTGTGTACTATATATTTGATTTGCAGCTGTATGAATGTATGAATAACCTTTGTTGGTTCCGGACATTTTGACTTCATATTCAGCAGGCCATTTTTATATGTTTCTTTGCTTGCATATGATACATTTTTCCCCATTTACATTTTATAATTTGCAACCTGTTTGTTTTCCTTTGTGTTTTGTGCTTAAAATATTTACATGCGCCTTCATTAAACAAAGTAAACAAGCAAAATGTTCTATGATTGGCTTGTTTCTTAGTTTGTAGGGTTGGGTAGCCAATTAGAGGCAGTGTTATATGTGGCTGCTGGCTCATAAAATTACCTCAGTATAGTGAAACAAGAGAAAGCAATCAATTGGTTTCCTTTATTTCAGCCCTACGGACAGTACATGCAAGGTCCACCTCCATCCCAAGGTCAACCAATGTCACCTCCGCAAGGTCATCCAATGTCCCAAGGACCTCCGATGACGCAGGGTCAGCCACAGCAAATGACACAAGGACCTCCAATGACGCAAGGTCAAGTAGTCCAGATGTCCCAAGTACCTATGAGCCAAGGAACTGCAATGACCCAGGGTCAAATGCCACAGATGAGTTCCATGCCTCAGATGTCTCAACAGATGCAATATACTAGGTAAGATGTTCAAAACATTCACTGTATCTGCTT